CTCTCTCTCTCTCTCTCTATCTCTATCTCTCTCTCTCCCTCTCTCTCTCTCTCTCTCGACTTCTCTTTCACTTGATTGTTAAACTACTTGTAAAATCGTCTCCCAAGTGAAAACGTTCCCCCTTACACAATCACCTCACATCAATATTACGAGTGACCCAACACAACATTAAAATGCACAGGAACCATTCCCTCTTCCCATGGGTCATATCTTTCCATTAATATTTCCCACTTTCTCTCTTTCCCACCAATAATTCTTTCTTTTTTTCTGTTCCTCCCCCAGTCAGGGACAAGACAGGCTCAGCACTGGACCAATCTAGTAAATCTGTGTTCGTCTGTTCCTTGAGCGGCAAGGCCAGTATGGGGCCTTGCGTGGACACGGCACGTCGATACTTCCGGTCAAGTCAGGGATTACTGACACGTCAGAGAGGCTTCTGGGAGGCCCTGGCGCCACAGGCAAGGGGTGGACTCCAGGAACCGCCCTGGATAGACGGGATGGAAGAGGACGCGACGGGTTTACTGTGAACTTAATAGGGGGTTTTTTTTCTTCTTCTTTTTGTTGTTCTTTTTGACAATTCTGGGAAAAGAAAAGAAAGTTGGCAACGTGCTCGCTAAATCATGCGTTGTGGTTGTGGAAAAGAATGAAATAATCGTTTGATGAGGGTCTGCTGTTCTAAGAAAAGAGGTACAGTTCCAGGAAAAGAGAATTTGATCACAGCGTGCGATTCTATGAAAAGGAGAATGGCGCGCCAGTGTATGCGCATGACTCATTGTCGCGGAGAGTGATACTGAAAGAGAAGTTTGTATATAGACCTTGTGGGGTGGAAGAGGTCTAGAAAAGCAAGTACAAAGTAGCTAAGCCAACATCTGTTTGAGTAGCTAACACATCGGGATAGCTGTTGAAACAGTGTGTTTTCTGTTTCTGCCTCCCCTCCACCCAGTAGGACGTTATGCCCCGTGGAAGGAAAAGGTAATAGTCCTTGTTTTTCCTCAGTTCATCCAACCGTATGACAGAAGTGAAGACATGTTAATGATAGCTTTGAAGGACTACCTGACTTCCCCTCTGTTTGTCTCCAGGGGAGACTGATACTGAACAGTCCCGTCAAAAGAGTTAACGTGAAGCTGTCTGAACTTTCTATTAGCAGAAGTTCAAAACTATTGTCCAAAGTGTCTTTGATTGTAAGCTTTAAAAAAAAAATATTTGGTGCATATGCTGCCCTGATATTTACCAAGATTGTTTTACAGGGATAAGTGGTTACGCATAACATATTGTTTGTGAAAATGTGATACTATGCCACAGACGTTTCGGGAATAAACCACAGGCGCGTATGTCTGTGTTGCCAGGTCTTACATTGTCAACGTTGAAGATCCTGATCAAGATTTCTATGTTTATCGTTTCCAGCCTCTTCACTTCTTTCTGTCAGAGTTGAAAACTTCAAGGATTCTGTCTCGTGGTCAACCTGAATTGTACTGAAAATAAAAACTCTGAGCAAACGTATAACCACTTCGGATAGCACCACTGAACTACCTCGCCATGAATGCGAGCGATTGGTCCTCCAACTCATCGAGCGTCCCAAGCTCCTCCACGCTCTCCCCCTCCCTCCTCCCGCCAGCAGCAAACCCGAGTGTAGCTTCGGCTATTTCCGTGAATGTCACCGACGTCACAGCCGCCATGTCCGAGAAACCGTGCGGAGAGGCTCTGTCGTCACAGACCCCCGCCCCTGTGCGACTTCCGGGTTCCTTGGACGCTCTCTTGTACATCGTGATAGTGCTCATGTTCTACGCCTTCAGCATCGTGGTGCTCATGGTGAAGTACATCCGGCGGGAGAGAGAAGAAGCTAACCTCAGAAACTATTATCACGAGTTCGTGTCACGTGACAAGTTTCGTTCAGCACAATACAAAAACCGTCAGTTTATGAGCCGGATTTTCGGCAGAGGAGGCGGGAAGAACAAGCAACAAGGCGTGGTTTCTATTGAAGATGAGGAGAATAGTGAACTGAGGGGCAGTTCACAGAACAGTTTCAGGAGGAATAGGGGACAAGCGCAAACTATCACTAGAAAAGGAAACACTTTCAGTCGACTGTTAGTGGAATGTGACGACGATGACAATAGAACACAAAAAGAAAAAGAAAGTTTCACATTCCTCAGTGCTAAAAACCAGTTTTGCCGAAACGGTTTCTTTGGTAAAAAGTTCTGCAATAAACAACTGTGTTCCAAGTGCGTATCTGAAAGTGCCCCGTCGATAGACTGGTGTGACGGTAAAGGCGCAGTAGAAAAATCTACCAATTGTACCAACGCTGACCTTGTGGAAGTCACCCTTCACAACTGCAGCAGTAATCTGCCCTCGTATTCTCTTAATTCTTCTCAAAGGCCTCGCCACTGCGAGGACATTGAGACCAGGTATTCCCTGGAGCGAGATAATCACACGTTCTTGCCCATCATGGAATGTGATTCTGAGAAAGAGCTGGAGGACATGGTCAACAATGTTGTGGTGGCGCCAGTTTTGCAGGCGGCGGGAGGGGGAGGGGAGGCGAAGGCATGGGCCGACAGAGAGGCCCAGGCTTACCTGGAGGAGCACGCTCTGGTTTCTTCGTGCTCCCTCGAGGTCTCAGAACTGTTGGCCAACATGCCACCTTTAGGAGCCGACGGCAGCATAGATATGGACACCCTCGACGGGTTGTCCAATTTGGACAGCGAAGCGGAGAGCCAATCTTTGCTGAACTACTCCAACAGTCTCCGCGGTTCCGACTGCCGCTCTTATGTACACTCCTCCAACAGCCTCAGGAGAAGCCCACGAAAAATGCATCGACTCAACAGCTCGGAATCCAACCACAGTCACCTGTGCCGGTTCAGTCCGAAGGCTCTGACCCAGAACGACAGCTCGTCCAACAAAAATGGCGACATCTACGCAGACGACAGAGCCAGAGACTTGAGTGATGTCCTCTCCGAGCGGACCTCACTTCTCTCCTGCACGCTTTCCATAGCGGAGGCAGACGACGACGACGCACACACGAACCACAGCTCCTCCAAACACTTCCTCCCGAACGGCTTCACGTGCCCGAGCAACACAAACGGGAAAATCAAACCCCCGGAGCTCAAGAACAGCAGCAAGCACGACCTAAAAAGCAATGGGAAATCTGTTTTAAATTCTTTGTCAAAGTCGATAAGTAGCGAAGAGGAGGACGTCATGAAGCTGCTCAATGACATAACCCTCCTCACAGACGACTCAGGAGTGTTCCGGAATCTCAAATACTTTTTACGAAGCTTTTCCAGAAACGACGAAGAGAAAGATATCGCGGTCACTCATGACAAACCCAGCGCGTTGCCTAAGGAAACCTATTTCGGACCTGATAGTCCAAAAAGTGTTGTTGGAAATTCCGAGATCGGCGACTCTGTCCCGGCGTTTGCGTCCTGCAATGGCTCGGTTCACGACGCGTCCTCAAGACTTCAGTGTGACTTGGATTCTGTAGACGAGGACCAGATTCCCTTCGACTCCAGCGAGAAGGATTACGGCAATCGCTGGGGCTACACCTACGACGAAGAAGACGATCTATTTTCAGATAGGTCTTCAAGCGTAGGTCAACGTTCTTCCAGTTTCGGGGATTACTGTATGGGTCAGGCCAGTGAATCGCAGACGATTGACCTGAGTAAACCTCTGGTGAGGAGGCAGCTGGATTCCGACACCAAGGCTGGGCTGAGTAGGGCGTTTATTGGACTGGGAGATCCCTGGTTAGATGATCTTCCCATTCACAAACCTAATCCTATGGTAGCTGGGTACGGGCCTGCCAGGAAGGAGACCAAAGTGTGATAACAAGAAAGACATATTATATCAGTATAAGTATTTTGCCTTGTAACAATTACGGTACTTTGAGCGAACTACTTTTTTGAACCAAAAGCATTTTAACTGTAACAAAAACTGTCACCGGGTCCCGCTACCAAAATTATACGTGTTGTAGATCAAAAAAAGCAAATAATGTATAGAAAGCTATTGATACCTTTCAGTCCATCAAGCTTCAACCTTCAACAAGCATTCTCATCTGGCAGTAAACAAGTCTTTTCTTTCGGTGGACCCCCCCCCCCCCCCCCAAATAAAAATCGAAGGAAACAAAATTTTTAATTTTAAACAACAACAAACCCCCCCCCCCCCCCCACACACACACACACACACTTACACTTTCCCCAGCCCGCATTCCTCATTCTCAGTACCAGATCCACAGTTTGTACATGTATGCCTGGGTAGATTTAGAATTTGTTCATGTCATGTATGCGCAATAAATAATTCAAGACATCTTTCTCTTGTCTGATCCGCGATATCATGTTTTTCTGCACACATTAAGGTATATTCATTTTTGTTTTAATGTTCCTCCGTTTCCAACCTTTTACCCCATGACAGTGCTCATTCTTATACACTATTCCACGCAAAGCATTCTGTTTCGTTAGCCATCTCAGAAATAGTTCTCACCAGCTGTCACGGGAAAACAGCCAAGACGAAAAAGTGAGCGTCTTCTCACGGGCAATATATTGCTGCTCAAGAGTCACTATTCACAGCGTTATCCATTGTGCACCCACGACAAGAAAGTAAGAGCCTTCTTACTGTTACCATCAGGAACAGTTTAAATCAAATTGTGAGGCAGCGTGGTGGAATCAGGCTCTCGTCAAAATAATCAAAGTGAAACAACTTGCATCTTTCCGCAGGTTTATCAATTTTTATCAATTTGTTTGGGTTTTTTTGGCTCAACACCTTTCAAGCCCATTAAAGAACTCATTTCTGGGGGGGGGGGGGTGAAAAACGTTGATTAAAGGCCCAAAAATTTTAAATTTTCAGTTACCACGGACTCTTAAGCTGATGAAATAACTAACCTTTGGCGACCATTTTTTCACTAATGTTATCTCTGAAATCAGGTGACCCCCACCTCCTTCTTTCGCAAATATCTCGAATTGTATTCTAAATAAATGATATTTTTTTCATCCAAATAAAGATTAGTGAACAAGCTTTAAGATAATACCAATAACTCTACATGCCCAAAAATTGACGAGAGCCTGATTCCACCACGCTGCCTCACATTTATTAACTTTTCCAAAAGCTGAACAGTGAACAGTGGGTCAGGATGGTGGAAAATGTGCCAGGTCACTGTATAATGAATAATAGTTAATACGTGCAACTTAGTTAACCTTCTCTCTACATAATTTAGATCGTTTTGGAGACGGGCTTCTTCGACCATGGCTGTTGGTGTCAGCACGGGCTGAGAAAAAAATACAACATAATAACAAAGACAGACGGAGTTACTCGATGAAAAAACCTACCTATTCGAAAATCGAACTCGCGTTTATTAAAAATGTCGTTTGGGTTGTTAATTGAGTTTCCGAAGCTGTCTGTATAGTTGGGTAAGTTTTATCGGAGAAGGGGATTAGATTCTTATTCTTAGATAACCCAGCAATGCTGTGCGATTTGGGGGAAACAAGACGTCAGCAACTCGTCAAAGAGTCGATTCTTACCAAAGATAGTAAAAAACAAGATGGGCCACTCAGCCAAAAAGTGTCCGCAGGAAGTATGCTCTTTGCTTCAGATGGCGCTGCAGTCTGTTTTGAAGCTCTCTTTCGTTTTTCCAGAAGAAGAATAGGAATAGCACCTCCTTGTGTGCGCAGATCGACTGCTGTTCATCAGCAGTTCGGGTACGTTCAGTGCGGAGTTTTAGGTTTTTTAAATTTTAATGACCTCTCGCCTTTCATTCTAAAGTCAAATCAAACAAAGAAAACCATCACCCTTTCCTCCGGAAGAAGTTTTTTGTCAGCGCAACCATTTTAAAAAAGCGTTCTTCCGAAATTTATCCCAAAACTTGCTAGATTCACTTTGATTTTTTAAAACTCAAGTAGGGTAACTCTGTTCGCAAAGAGTGCGCTTTTTGTGAAGAGGGCGCCACCAAATTTTGAGGACACTTTTTTAATTGGCTCAAAGAGAGAAGTGGCCCATCTTGTTATGTACTATCTTTGTTCTTACTGTGTGAATGCCGTGCGCAAATATTTATTCTTTATATTATATATAGGTCCATCCCCAGTATTCACTATTCACAGCCCTATTCACAGAGTGCGTGATGCCACCCACGCAGTGCGGTACGAAAATGTCACATCACTATTCATAGCGCTTCGAATTTCGATCAGGGGAAGGGAAGCTCGATTCCAGAGTCTACTGTTTCTGTCTTGCGAAAATATTATCTCTTGCACTTGGAGATTCATGGCCTTAGATAATAGAGCTATTCGTGGTTTGACAAATTGCTGTGTTTATCTCAATTATTTTAGAGCAAATACACGTATAATGATTATTTATGGTATAATTCTACGACAGATTGAGAAAAATGAGGCGAAAATATGTAGATTCTAAATGTAAAAATCATACGACATTGGAATAACGCTGCCATGCTTCGAATAGGTATGAGTACGCAAAAATCGTGAATGTTGAATAACAAGGTAAAATGGGCACAGCTCTACCCCACAGTTGAGGAAAAGGCACTAACCTCATACTATGACATCATAGAGCACGCCAGATGTTCCGTGATTTACTGAAGTACATATAGTATGTTCTTCGTGTTTACTCTTTCGGAGATATGTTTTATATCATCGTATTCAGCAAATCCTAATGAGCATTTAACTTATCAGTTTTCAAAAACCCCTGTAACATTGATGGATTGTTATGTTGTGATTTGGGCATTGGATGAATCTTCCTTGTAACTCCCGTTTTTTCTGTGTAATTCTCGAAACATGTAAGTCCCGTTCAAATAACTACATGTATTGTTTTGTAGTAGGGAAATTTTGATTTTTGCTCCATTCTGATACGTTGGCATCAAAGCCTTTTGTCAGGGTCAGCCCGGGCTGAAAGAGATGCAAAGTTCCAACAGACAGACGTAGATTTAAGTGCTCAATAAAAATTCTCCCCACTCAGGAATCGAACTCTGATCTTCTGAGTGCAACAGCTAAGCGCGTAATCACTACACTACAGATGTCGTTATTTAAGCCTTTAGATTGCTGTTTTCAAAATAGCATTTCAAGAGGTAAACTGTTTTTGCACTTTTTTGTAATAATGGGAACCTCTTTCTGGGATAAAGGGGGGAGTCCAAAAATCCAGACTTGTGCGTTTAGAGAATTACACTGGCCATTGGTACCTGAAAAAATAAACTGCAAACTAAATACTGAATTTTAGTATTTAACAATGTGACTACTGACTACTATGTCTGAGTCTTTGTTAAGTGATACTTGGGGGGAGGGGGGTTGTTGTTGTTGTTGTTGTTGTTGTTGTTGTTTTGGGGGGAGTGTACTCTTGTTGTTGATGTTGTTGTTGTTGCTTTATTTTCATTTATCATCTTTTGGGAGGGGGTAACGTGGCTAATTACAAAAACACGTTTAACCAGTTCTGGGGAAATAAAGTAAAATTTAATTTGGACCCTCGATCCCAAGCCTTGAAAATAAAGAGTCTTTTTATATATACTTTTTTTTTAATAAGAGTTTTTTTAAGGCCACTTGCAACACAAATACGTCATATAAGTGTCGAAGACTAGAGGTGTTACTACACGTAGAGAGAAACGTACACAAAGAAAAAGAGGAGGAGGTAAGATAAGAGTAGGGGCAATATGAGCTTGATAGGAAAGTAAGGAAAGAAGGAGCAAGCCACACCAGAGCGCCGCCAAACGCTCACTGTTATTAGTTATAGAATATACATGTATATATATATATATATATATATATATATATATATATATATATATATATATATATATATATATATACGATTATAATCCTATTATGCAGTGGTGTTACTTTACGGGCACCCTAGTAGATTACAGGGTGGCAGAGGTTTTATCAAAAGTACACAAAAGAACTTTGACTGGTTACAATGAACACTTCAACAATGAGCTTATTATTGTTGGTTATTGACCTGGTGCGCAACATCCAGGGTCACCCTAGGGGTCACGGTGGAGATGCAGCTGTTTTAGTTTTACTGGAATAGGTTCTAGGAGGCGCCCATTGGGGGACCCGTTCGGTTCAGTTTGGTTTGGCTTCCAGTGGCTTCAGTGAACACTGTAAAGATAGACTAACTGCCTAAACCGATCGCCCGACGCGAGGCCTTGATAACAAAAACGCGTTTGTCATCGAGGGTCATCATCAGTCTTGTCGGTTTTGCCCCTCTCAATGGCGGAAAAAAATCCCCCCCCCCCCCCCCCCGAAAGACCAAACAGACGGAACCGAACCGATTCAGTCAATGGTGCCCATTGACTTATTAAATTGCGAGCTCTGATCACCGTGATCCTCCTCGAAGACTTGGGGGCGGGGTTGGGCGGGAGGGGATATACTCTTTATATCAGTCTCTTTCTTCCTCGACTGTTCCACTTGCAATAGGCTGTTGTTCCGTCTCACCATGCATGCCATGTGAAAATGGAAGAGACAACTGCAGTTTGTAGGACGCTTGAATAGACATAAAGGTCTTGAACATCTAGAACTAACCGGCAAAATTGAAGGCAATCGAGGCAGGGGTAGACTCTGAGTAATTTACTTGGAGAGTTTAACCAGATAGGTGACAGGGAAAGATCAAGATATTGCAGAGTTTAACCAGATAGGTGGCAGGGAAAGATCAAGATACATGTATTGTAGCTTTTACTGAGCATCCAAGCAGAGGAATGAATGGAGAACCATGATCTCTGATGTCTGTCACAGGTGTGTTCCTCACCAATTTTTCAACTGGTTGAATTGGGTGGGGAACAGTGTGAATCATTGTAAACAGTGTCGTGTGGACATTATGCAAAAAGGTATCATTTTTTTATATTTGTTTGTTATTTTTTCCAGGAAAGAAAAAAAGAAAGCATTTTACTTTTTTTTTGGGGGGTGGTGGTTTGGTTGGGTTTTAGTAAGAGTATTACGCCACTTGCAACACTATACGATTAGATCTACATAAGTAACAAAGATTAGAGGAGTGACAAGAGAGTAACAAACACGAAAAAGAAGGAGGAGAAATCAAACGATAAATGTTTGAGAGGACAAAGGGAGTTAACCACACCAGAGCTCCCATCCACCACCCAACCTTACTTTTATTTACGTTC